ACTGCCCTTTTATATAAAAAATTAATTATCAAATCGATTAAGTATTGTGGTCTTATCTGCATTTCTGTTAAATAACGTTAAAAAATCTATTACAATATAATTCTTAGAATTCATATTATATGAAATATGAATTAAAATATCATTAAGTAAATATGACGTTCACAGAAAAATACTTAAAGCTATATTTTATAAACAAACATTAGCTATAGTGTGTATTGAAGCATAATACGGTTGATTATAAGTTCAAACAAATTTATTATTATAACATTTATCGGGTATAATGTCACAAAAAGTTTCTGAATAATTATTTCAAGTATCTGATGCGTGATTTATATAAAAAAATAATTTTGTTTAAATTTCACTGTACAAAAGATTTATCATTACAATATTTATATAATATTTAAACGTAGTTGCTCAGATGTAAATATATAAATATACTGTTACTATAATAATTATTAAATATAATGTTTGTGTTAAGTTGTGATGTCTACGTTTTGTGCTTAAGTGATCCGCCCCTGCAGGTATAGAATTCGTGAAGGGTTGAGATCAATATACGTTCATTGATTGCACTATAGGTGCGCTGCGTCGGCTTCATCGAGTTTGTCTTCCTCTAAGCGCTAAACACTGAGCATAGACTCACCTGGCTAACTGGTCTTGTCCCATGAGGACCTCTCATCGACTTCTACACGCCTACCTAATATGAAGCCACCGAATGTCCTGCTCAACGATACAGCCTCCCAATACCAAGTTTTGTGATAAGTAGGCAAGATTTGGTCCATTTCGATTTACCTGTACACCTATACCATTATGTACAAAAGAACGCGACTAAATAAGTTTAATGGGACTTATGGCTCACGCAATAGTAATGCTTGTCAAGGATGCGTAAATCGATTTCATTTATTTCGATGAACGATATTCGAACAAATTTAAATGCTTGACAAATAATTTAATATAATGATAATTTTAATTATAAATTTCTACATTGCATGGAGTTCAAGCACATGCATGTTTATAGATTTTAAACAGTACAAATATCTTTCAATTAAATAATTTGTGTATTTTATGCAAAAGCTTTTTATAAATTAATTGAAGAATTAGTGAAATAATTTTGAATTTTATGAATTAAATTATAAAAATATATTAGTATGACAGTGAATGTCTATATAAATAAAAAAAACATCTCGTTAAAACACATTTCATTAAGCTTCGTTTATGAACACACGCTATTGTCAAACGTAATGGCCGAACGTGTCAATGTGTTCATTTATTTTACTACATTAGGAAATGTAGAAACACGTTAATGAGAATCGTAATTTGCTCATATCGATTGTACACATAGCTATCGTAGTATAGATTACACAGCCAATCAAATTACTAGATATAAATAAACATGGTTGTCTTTCTTTAGTCTGTCTTTGTCCTCTGCGCAGTGTCAAGAGCATTTAAAATATATAAGTCTGCACAGATTATAATTCTTTACTATCCTTTTCACGCCATGCACGTGCATGCGATATTGTATATTATCGGAACACTTAGTAAAAGTAGAAAATGTAATAGTTTCAAACAATTACGCATTCCTTCTTTTTTAAATATTCTTAATTTTAATTAATTTCTTATTTTTTTCTACAATGTTTGCGGATAATTATATTAAGGAGGAACAGATGCGAGATTGTAAGAGACATAAGACTGAAATAGTTCGTTAAAGGTATTTATTATGGAAGAAAAATATATATACGTGTATATTTAAAATGTATATGTATACATAAATATATATAGAAAATATTCTAATATTATTATAATAAACAATCCACTTATATTATATTGAGCAGTAACTGCTTCCTTTAAAAAAATACTAGAAGTGAATATACAGAAAATATTTTGCAAGTTCAAATTTCTTATATTATGCATAGTTAGAAACTTATAGTTTCACAATTAATGCTATTACAGTATGTATTATTACATTGACTTTTAATTACATTTATGTTCTTTCATAATTATTTTTTATACCTAAAACATAGTATTATACACAGTTGACTGAAAGTGATAAATAAATCAAATATAAGACCTCCTAATGTCATCCAGTAACAAATTGCAACATAGAATATTAGAGCACTTATACTTCAGTAAATGAGATGTATATATTTTCTCATAAACTATTTCAAAAGTTGATTTACGTTTGTACTATAGTGTAACAAAAATAACAATTTTTAATATTTATTTACAATATATTTAAATAAAAAATAAACTTACTTTACAAATAAATCATTGTGTACATAATTTAATACGTATAGATAAATTATGCATACATGTATAAAACTTTCAAACACTTCTGTCAAAAAATAATGATATTACAGAAATAAGTTTCACTTGATTTGTATTTAACTTATTTTGTTGCTTTTTCAAAGCATTAAAATGATTTCAAGTTTTAGATATAAAAATTGTAAGAAACATTATTTTTACTTTATAATTATTTCATATTAGTACTTTTCACCTTAATAAAGAAACTAACATTCATCTTTTTTGTACTCTGTAATATATACACAATGTATTTCACATAAAACAAAATTATGCCCAGAGTTAAAAAGATATGATAATGCATTCAAAAATCAAGAGGTCAATTATATAATTTCATCTAACATGGAAAGTTATTGAATCTGGAAATTAAAAAAGTTATGAAAATTTGTGTATACGTAGAATAAGTCAAGCCTAATACGTTGCAATTTTTTTCATACCAAATCTCACTCTGAAGGACTGAAACCACCCCTTGAAAAAAATGGAAATTTTTCTTTCCCGTGGATTATGTTGAGAACGATAAGAGATAATAAAGTTAAAAAAAATACATTATTCTTTCACGTCTATAAAATTGCAAAATAAAATTTTTCGGGTTGATGGTGGGGGTATTTAGAAAAATTTTATTTTCTTCAAGGGATGGTTTCGCCCTTCAAAGTGAAATTCAGCACGAACAAAAATTGCAACATATTAGACTTGACTTACTCTATTTACACATGAAGCTTCATAATTTTTATAATTTCTAAATTCGATAACTTCCCTTATAAGTAGGCATAAACTACATTTTACACTATTCTCATTTATGTTACTCTGTATGTACAAATATTTTTGTATTAAAAATATGCGTTTCTAAAAATAAAAAAATCCAATAAGTATTTGACCTCTTAAGTTAATACATTTACAGTTCGAGACTAAATGTAAATATACTCTTTAATCAGGTCCCCGTGACTCACACATGGGACAGTGGACTGTAAATGTGTTAAGCTTAAATAAAAATTTCTGTTTGTACAAAACTTAACGTTTGTCACTGTTTATTCATAATAGCGGATGGCTCTAACGTAGCAACATCTGTTGTAAAATACTTTTTCCGATTTCGTATGTACTGTGACGGAGCTGCTCTAATTTCGATATGGCAAACTGTTTTCGCATTTTCCTTCGGATCACTAATGTAGGTATTCTGTCTTTTAGAGGAAGTAACTTTATCCGAATATGTACAATTTTTCCGTTTAAGGCAATTAGCTTCATGTTTTATCGGGGCAACTGATGAACGAGTTTTACGAGGTTGATAATCTGGCGTTGCTTGCATTTTTTCAAGAGCAGTACGCAAAGGCAACAGGCCTACAGCAAATGGAATTTCTGTATTTGGTGTATATTCGTCTAAATCCAATCTACTTTCACAATTCTCCGAAAAGTCTGACATGTCTCCCCACAATGCTCGATTAATATGTTCCATCGTATTTGACTTCGGCAATGTGAAAATAGAATCCATTTCTGTTGTTTCTGTTATGTCACACTTCAATCTATTTGTTACTTTAACTGATTGCTCCTCTTTTTCTTTATTAGTCGTTACACATTGTGGCTTATGGTTTTTCTTTTCAATTAATTTTGATGTGTTTTTACGAGAATTGTTAAATGTTTTCTTATTTGAATGGATAATATTGCTATTACCTTGTTCTGAAATCTTACAGTCTGCATCTTTTACTTTACGTTTCCGTTTCGCGGATAATTCCAGCTTATTTGGAGAATTAGATTTTTTTAAATGTTTTTCTCTTCCATGATGTTCCTTAGGGATTTCATTATTATTCGCAGTTTCGTCTATGTCCTGCTGGTTTAATCGTAAACTTCTCCGTAAGATTGGTTTTATACAACTAGAATTCGTGGAGTCATCTGTATTTAATTCCTTTTTATTTATATTATCTTTTCGATCACTGTATCCAACAATATGTTGAAATCTTTTTTTACATATATTTAATTTATGCTGCTCATTTAATCTAGCTCCCACTATAGACTGAATATTTTCAGTACTTAAACTTATAATATACTCAGCACTTTCCATGTCTAATGAGGTTAAAAGAGTAACTGGTATATCATTAGTGGACGGTTCATCTAATAAATCTATACAGTCAGTAGATGGGGGATTTTGTATTACATTATTCACATCTGAAAGTTTTGTTTTTATTTCATCTATAGACTTACGTCTCTTATGAGTATATACTTTTATGCATTTTCCTATTTTATTAGGAACATCGCTACCTTCAAAGGTATATTGTGCAAAATCTTTTTCAATTTCTTGAAGGCAAGTTTGCGACAGTGACGTAGAGTTTTCTTCGCATTCCTCAATATCTGAGAGATCACAGCATTGTTCATATAATATAGGTTTTAATGTAGTACTTGAACATAATACATCACTATTTATTATACTATTTTCAGAATACCCTTTTGATACTTCTTTTATTTTACAATTCATCAAGGAGCTTAAATTTTGGTTTTTCATTGAGGAAACACAGTCTGATATTGCAAACGATGTGTTAGTTTGTTCTGTATTGGTATGAAGGTCTTGTGAATCTTCATACAACATATGTTCTATCTCATGCCCGGAAACATCAGCGATAGCATTATTTTCCAAGGATCTATTTTCCCTAGAGTGAGTATCATTATTGCTTTTATTACAAATTGAAAAACATTCGTCTTTAACAAGTTCATCACTCTTTACACGCATGCAATCTATGTTATTGCATTTATTATTTTTAAACATTGATTTCGTATCTTTCTTTTCAATATTTCCATTATCTTTAATATTTTCAATACAAGAAGTCATCATTGCATCAATCACAGATGTCAATTCCTCAACCTATATGTGCATAAACAAATACACTGTTATTAATATTTTGATACAAAAAGCATAAATGTATATATTTAAACATTTAAAGGACTGTTAGCAATAGTAAGTAGGAATAAAGTTTTATTTATTTATTATAATCAAAATGAATATTTATCATTTTGGATAATATATTGAATATGTTGAATACAATACAATATTCATTACAGTTACAGTGATATTTATGGTTCTAATTTGTTTGACAAGATAGAGGATAATCTCTCAAATATATCAATGTACACAGTTATTAAATTTTATGGTTCTGAGCAGCTGTAAACGAATACAATTACAGACTATAATTAAATGGGAATACTTTTGTAATGCATATGACATATTAAATATACATAAATAAATAATTTAATAACTACATCAAATCTTACTAATTGTAATACCAACCTTAAAAGTTTTTGCGGCATTTAATAACGGCGACAACAATTGATGAGGAATTGTAGTTTCTCCACAGTACATGAATTTAACCATGGCCTTCAGGATTTCAAAATTAAGATCTTTTAGAAATATTATTTGTTCCTGACCCAAATCTTGTTGTAGAATCTCCTGTTGCATCCAAAAATAAAACGGACAAAAAATAGTAGATAAATTTTATCGTTACTTAGAAATTTCCTTAAATACTAATTTCATTAGGACTACTTCTACAGTTTATTGCATAATATACTCTGGTTGAAGCAGTTTTCATATATCTGTTTAGAATTTTTCAATAAAATTATTATAATGTTGTAATAAATTTGTAAGACTTCCTTTTGTTATAAATTACAATTTACTAACATATTCCAGTTTCAAAGCTAAAAACATGAAAACATAGCATTAAAAGCACGAAACCATTGAGAAATTTCATGTTAACAAGGTGCTATTTAATTGATTAACAGGCAATAAAAAAACTAGTTTGAAGAATGAACGATAAGATTTAATAATTGACTTAATAATTGAAGTAGTTATTAAAAATAAAATAAGAATCAAATCACTTAATTAATGAGTAATAAATGTTATATATGTATAAAAACTGTTTGATCTATTTAATTTTATATCTTTCTACAGATTATAATTAGTAAGAGTTAAATGTTTACACATATATTGTAACATTACAACAGTTCATTAAGAAATTTTTGCCAGGTGTATGTAAACTATCTTCAGCAAGTGTATATATATTGCGTGTACATATATAATATTAGGAAAATTATTACTATGTGCAGAAAATACTTGTAATGGTTTTACAAATAAATATATAGCAATGATTGTATGATCAAATATAATATAATAGTAGCAGTTACAAGTAGGAGTGAATTTGGATGTACTTATTTATGCGTATGCTTCTCAATACTTTTATTACTTTTATTATTTTTCATAATTTTAATAAGTAATAACATTTTATACTACTTCAAGAGAAGTATTTACATTTTTATGTCTTTATTTTAATATTTTGAGTGCATAGAAATTATTTTTCTAATACCTTTACACAGCATACATGTTCTTCGTAAGCTGTGAAAAGAATGTCCATCAAACATGGTATCTTCAAATGCTTGCACATAAATAACGAAAATCCAATATTTAAGGCTTTCTTTACTGTATGTAAATTGTGTACGACCTGTAGAATTGTTTTCCCATAAGTATTAGATATCTTCTATTTATAAATTTATTATGCATTATGTAATAAAAATACTTTTACAAATACATATTATCTGTTTAATTTAAGATTAGAATAAAACACAATATCAATCACGGTATACCTCGTAAGACAAGTAATCTCTTATTGGTTTATTTTACCCCAGACAAGAGCATATCTGCTTACAACAAATCTAAACTAAACATTTTTTATCTTTTTTAATAAATTAGTCATTATTTAAAAACAAAACAAAACAACAGTGATCAATATTATAAATTGTAAGTATTTCCTTCTTTCACAAATACCTTAGCGTTGCTCATATTTACAAAAAAAGTCACGCAACTTCGTTGTGTTTTACATTAAACTTAAGTTGAACAAACAATAAATATATACACAAAGTGTTCAATTATAAGTGATGATCCTTTTATAAGGTAATTCTACATGCCAAGAAGAGATTAAAATTATTATAAACAATCATGAATTATTACAAATTATTAAGGCAGTAGCTTAATTTAACAATTTATTTTTTATGTCATACAAAGATCCATGTATAAGATAAAAAGATGTTATATAGAATTCCACATCGCAACTGTAGTCTTTCGCATCATCCGCGTTCGTACAGACCTACCTCAAGCGCACCAGTATTGGATCATTATAGTTCAAAGAAATGTTTAATCATTAATAATTAAAAAAAAAGTTCAAAAGGATATTTGATTATTTTTTATTTTCATCTTATTTGAACATATAGAATTACTTTTTAAGACAATCACGTGTAGTCGAACACTCTATATAGATTGTTCTAAGATTTCTCTTAAATCATACTATTATATTCAATAAATCAAAATAAAAACCATTTTATTTAATTTTTTGTGTCTCACGGCAGCTTAAAAGTTAAAAAACCGCTCACGAGATTCCTCATTTTTATTTATAAGTACTGAATATTTGTATATTTTACACAAACATTAATGAAAAATTAGTGGACTTAATAATGTATGAAATAAATTGGAAATAAGCAAGTAAGACTTATTTAACATAATGAATTACAATTATGTGACCTTTATGAATCATGAATTTTCTATTGAAGAATCCATCTTCTAAATATATATCTTATAGCTCATTATCATACCATACTCGGTTTGCTTCTATTCTGCAATAATAACATTTTAAAGTTAAGGATATGGTTGAGAAAATTTAATAGCAGAACAAACGCATTCAAGCGGACTCTTGTCCCCGATATATCAACCGTTTAGGGGAGTCCTGTGTGTATTATAGATAACAGATAAAGTATTAGATTGAGATTTTTGTTCTAAACAGTAGTAGATTAGCTGATTACAAGAGACATGTACTGTATTTTTCCATGATGGTTTACAGTCAGGTCATAGCTTAAAAGGACCTTGTTGTAAACTACGTACATTTCAAACGGAAGTCGGCTACTAGCTCATTTGAAGCTGCTTTATTATACGCAGTTTTAGGTTATGCTGTAGTTGGCGTGCGAGCTAAGCTCATTTCTATAAACATCTTGATTTTGTCAAGCTCTATAACAGTTAAAGTCTAGTAGGCGCAAGCAAACATATTAAGACATCTTTGTTTTATCTCTGTTCAGTAATAAACCTGTAAAATATAAAACTATGTGACTTTCAGTATAGGTTTCACAAGTTTAAGATGTTATTATCGCAAAAAGAAAATAGATTCGATACAATGTTGTAAGCCATTTTTTGTTACACTTGAGTATAGTGTATACAATGAATTCGATTTTAAATAAAATGAAAACATCAGCGTTAATATTTTTAACAATATTCTCTCATGTATGTCCTACAATAAAAATGTATATTTCCTTTTAATATTCCAGTTTAATACTAATATTTCAAGTGACATGTTTGATATTAATGCAAAATATAATATGAATATAAATTATTTAAAAAAATATTATTTAAAAAAAAACGAACTCGCCAGTTATTATATAAATATTCTTCAATATTATTATGCTTTATTTTAACTGTTATATTCATAGATTTATGTTCATAAACTAATAAAATAAACATACTGAACATACCTCGAAGTATGTACTATTTGACGCTAAGACCAGTTTGTGAACACGAAGCTTTTGTTCTTCACAGACGAGCGTAACATCAACAAGTGTTTGACGTGCCAACAGTTCACTAAATTTTTGTGTAACGTATTCTCCATGCCCGACCCATTGCAGGACACAAGGGTTAAAACTCTCCACCATTATGCCTATTAAAAATAAAAAGAAAACAATAATTAAAAATATGTTAGACATTTTTGTTCATTCTTACTGTTAGTAATCGGAATGATATCGTATTAATATCAAGAATAATCGATATCAATTTAATACATCTATACGAGTATTAATACCCGTTTGATACCGTTCAAAGTAATGAATCATTTGATATTTCATTAAAACATTGATATTCGATTTTATCAATGAAACAAAAGAGTTGTAAAGAGGATTACTGTAGGAACAACTTTCATTGAATTCCATGTTTAATGATATCATTCTTAGCAACCTCTCCGTTTTTTATTTCAATACTAATATTGTTAATCAAAATTAACAATAAATTTCGGCAATGATCGATAATTCATTTATTACATTTTTTTGGTTCCAGAACAAAACTTGTTCGAATATCGATGGTAACTTAGATTGAGTTCTCATATAGCATCTGTAATGAGAAAGAAGCGCTTAAGGATCGTTATCGATATTTTCTATTCGGGCAGGTTTTGTTCCATCTTTTTCTTTTTGTAAATTTGTACGCGCCATATCTTAAAAACTACTTAAAATCAAGTGTATGTTTTATAAGTTGTTAAACTTATTCAAACGCACTAACAAATGAACTATGAAAAATATATTATTATAATTATATTCTATTTGAAAAATGAAACTCGATTCTTACATCTTTCAAATTAATCTCGTGATGCCTGGAATCGGGCTAATTACTAGTTACAGTATAACTATTTTCAATACTTTTGTTTGTCGACTGTACATCTTTACTTCATCGTAAAATTAACACGTTGAATGCCATGGGGGTCACCGGTGATCCCCGACCAAATCGGATTACTATAGTTCGCTCGATTAAATGATGATTATTTGAAAACATTTCTATATTATAAATAATGCTATCTAATGCGGTGACATCCAGCTACATTAACGTGCGATAATAATAATGCAATTCAATCGAATGATTCAATATTACATTTTTTCCAGTTTGTGTATTTTGCTCTATGAAATCGCGCGACATTTAACGTGTTAACAGAGAAACGAGTAGAAATATTGTATCGTCCAAAGTAGGAAAAACAAAGTACTCTTTCTTCTTATTCATATTCACGAACATAGAAAATGTTATGCACAGAATCAGATGAAAAATGAAAATTTATTCTGTTTCGATCGCACTTGTAATTTCGTATCAGTTTTCAAAATAAGTTCGATGAAAACACTCTCAAGAATAAACTACAGAACTATACTGTAAGGGAAGATATATACGAGAAATTAGTAAAATGATTGGCACTACCTAGTTTCATATTGAAAAGATGTAGAATATAGTATGCCCCTCATTCGGCCCCGCCACTTGATGCCAAAACGAGACATTACAAAGCAATGGATGCTGTACCGCGATCGTTTTCATTTGCTGGCGACTTGCTTCTGTTTTGCCGGCAAAGAAGAGGAGATCACTGCTGGTTTGGCTCATTGAATGACGATGATAGCGACGAGACGCTATGGGGAGCGACAAAACGCGACATTAAAGAGGGAATACTGTATTGTCTGTTCAACGTACGACTAAGTACGACTAACAGTACTCCTGAACAGTTTGGGCTATCCCCACTTATAGTCACGGAGTCGAAAACACTGTGTCGCAGTGTAACAAGTGGATCACATGATATATTACGCATCGCTTTTAACGAAATTTTTGTCGAAAGTATTACCGGTCAGCTAGTTTCTAAATCACATAGAGACGTAAGTGCAGGCACTCGTCCATTTACGAGGCACTTCAAAATGAAGTTCATGTTTTGGACTGATAATACGTTGAATGATCACAGCCGCGTAAATGAGAAATAATTTTATTTTTGCTATGGTTGCTTTTTTATGTGATTTAATTTTTCCTTGGAAATATAATGCTCCACAGTACAAAAAAACAACTCTAATGAAATTAATAGTATAATTTTCATAAATCAAATACTAGTGAAAACTTTTGGTTTAATAATATATGTAATATATGCGATGAAAAATATATAATAGTAATTCAGAATATTAAAGATTTTAATGCAAAGTGAATTATTGCCAACTATTACTTTTTCTATAAAAATTATAAATTTTAGGAAAAAATTTTTAACCATAATCGGAAATCGAACACAGGTTGTACGCATACGAAGCTGTTATAATTCAGCTGCGCTATTGATCTTAGTTGATGAAGCACTGCGATTTAAAACGAATTTTTCGTTAACATGTAACGGTCGAATTTTATTATTGAACATATTTGAAATGGTTCACTGAAAATGGAAAAAAAGACACAAAATAAAGGTTGAATAGTTTTAAGTTATATAATATTTTTTTTAGATTGTTCTACGACAAGCGTAACAGAATGACGTAATACGTCATTGGTAACTAGCTATAACTTGTGGAAAGATGTAAATTTATGTCAGCGACAGCTAATTATGGCATATGAAATGACGTTAACGGTTATAAATATATTAGTATTTAAATAAATATTCATAGATATATTTTCATATAAAAAAATGCATTTTGGAAACAAATTTTTCGACATAACTCGCGTTTTCATACATGGAAAGTCCAGAGTCATTTTCAAATTACTTGTATTCCTCTTAAATGATAGTATATCATTTTTAACATAATTTGGTAATAATATATATTTAAAGTCAATCGATGTTGCAGATGAAAAAGAAATTCTTAAAAAAGGTTTTTTTTTCAGAAATGTTATGGTATCACATTTTTTATACTTCCAATATAATTAACTGAAATTACGTTCAAAATATAAGAAACTTTGTGGTGAAAAAAGCAATTATAAAATGTTTATAAGGTATAGGTAAATGATCTAAATATCATTTTAACATTTACAAAGAAACAACATTGTTTTCCCTCTATCTATAGTGTTGTACATTGTTCAGAATGTGAATTAATTTTTATACATATATAATTTTTTTAAAAATATGGTTGCCATGGACATATCAAATTGAAGAGAAGGAAAAATAAAAATTAATATTGTATACTTTATTAAAGAGTTTAAAAATTTCAGTAAAATTTATTCATAAAAGCAATTTCCTGAAGTTTTACGTGATAAATAATACCATGGAAAAATAAATAACCAGAAATTATACACACACATATATACTTTTAAAATAATTTCAAAATTATATATTGTATCAATAAACCATTGCCATAGTTTAACGTTTATGTATTGCTTTACACATTAACACGATTGAAATAAACATCTGTTACTATTTGTAGTACTATTATGGGCATAAAACTACAAAAATTAAAATATTCAATAGTCACAATATCCTTTCAATGTATGCTACGAAAAAATAGACTATTTTACAAACATTACCTTTTATAATAGATTAAAAATTATTATATTAGATGTTAATAATAAGTAATACTATTATAAAGAATATTTCAAACAGAAGTTGCAAGCGTTAAAGTGAACATTTTTATTTCCTCACTTTGTTTCTTATTTCCTCACATTCTGATCAAAATATGAAATCCATCTCATGTTAATAATGTCTCACGTATAACAAGAGTTATATAAACATAATTATTTTATATAATATGTTTTTGTATAGCATGTAATAATTTTAAGAAAGTTTGGGACGTATTTAGTGTTCCATTAAAAAAATCAGAGGTGACCTTTATGTTCAAATAATAATATGAAATAGTAAGAACAAATACATATTTTCCTGCAATTATAGATCTGAATTAGTATTTGTTATCCCAAGGAATCATTTTCTTATTTGAGTAACTGTTAATGTTATGAATATTGTATAAATCATAGTATTTACATAACATTATTTAATATCTAAGATATTTCTATTACACCTTTCATTTGACTTTTGTTCTCTTTCAACAGAAGTAATTATATATTATCTATACTAATTTATTGACTTCTATTAGCTTCATTTTAATAGTCATATTATATATGAAATGCAAAACTCAGCACTGTCCATTTCATTATTTTTAAGTTAAGATATAACTTCACTGAAGTATCAAAGTTAAAATAATACTTTCTCAAAAATAACGTATACTTTTTTTGTCAAAAGAATATAAATACAAGAGAACAATAGAAAATTACATAAAACTAAATATAAAATTACATATAAAACTGAATGAAGATCGTGCAAAGATATTAAAAGCAGTTACTATATTTCATTATTCTAAATTAACAGAACTTTTGCACTTAGCAAATCTTTCAATTGCTAATTTATTAATATTGAAAAAATACATACCGAATTATGATTAAAATATCGATCTTCCCCTGTCAAGCGTGGTTTGAAAAAAATCACTGAAGCCCTTGCTTAAATGTATATGATCATTTATGACTGACGATAGATAATAATATTGCAAGCTTATACATCTTTTATCGAATTTCATCAAACACCACTGGGAGCGTCGGTCCGTGAGGTCGACAACTTTACACAACATTTGCTTACCAATACACTGAAATGCAAAAAACAGGATGTAAACGAAATTCAGAATTTAGCCATCTTAGATTATGATATAGATATTTTACCTTAGCCTAGAACTGTGTAAACTTTAGAATATAGTAATAACACAATAGTTTCAAACAATTCAGATGTACAAATAACGCTTTTTCCACGCGCCACTAGAGGGCTGATGCAACACTTGTAGCTGAATAAAAACGGCGCAGTTACGTGGAACATCGCCTATTGGTCCATTTTGTATCAAACAGGGCCGTGCAACGGTAAAAATCATGCCACCAACGAAAATAAGAACTCATTCTTATGTCACGATATTCGATGCCCAATTCTAGCAACGTCGAGATTCTTCGAGCTGTCTCAGTAATTCGTTTTTTCTGCGAGCATTCTTTACGTGCTTGATATGAATGTACACAAGAAAAAAGCATATTATGTAATAAATTTTTATTATAGAATTATTGAAATTTTGGAAAACGACGTTGACCCTGTAAATATATAATGATACTTTTATTAATAAAATATAAAGTTTTTAAAACCATGTTTCTCCTTTTTACTACTTGTTATGTACATTTATATTAGGTATGCAACATTTAGAAATGTTTGAAAATACGTATAAAAATGAAATGATCACGTTACAGACATTACTGAAGGCAAATTGATTCCAACGCCAAAATGATACATGACTTGCACGTTCGTCCGATTTTACACTACTAGATCTTTTCTGTGAAGAGTAATTAAAGTAGCAGTTAATGATTATTAACACTTTGTATACTCTGATATTACTGAGATACTATATGATGGTTCAAAGAATTGTAGACACTCTCAGTCAATTATTTTAGACAAAAGTACATGAAAGTTAATGGCCATCATTATAATTATTTATTAATATCTAACAGGTCGATCAAATTAGTTTACATTTATAGGAAAATGTCTTTGTCTAGCAATTATTGAACGATAAATAATTTATAGTTTAATAATTAGATAGTATGTGATGGAAGATTATACAAGAGAAACTTTTATTTCATTTGAAAATTTGAAATGTTATATACCTTATGACGTTGCATTGTACAGATTAGAAGTGACTGATTTATAGAATAATAAGAATCATATGTGTATAATAACAATATATTTTAATTTTTATTTTATTGAATGTATCTTTAAATATATTTCTATGTCGGCAGATCTAAGTGAATAAATAGAATTAGAATATTGTAACATTTTATAGGCTGGAACATTATCAAAAGGTGACATGGGTATTTCTAAAATGTTCCATTGATTTTATTGAACATTTTGTTTACCGTTTTATTAAACATATCAGTGAATCACTATTATTTTTAAGAACGAGATAAAACAGCTTTAATTTCTGATAGTCAAAATTTCTTTACGTTTTATTATAACTCTAATCCTACATTTTGTGTAAACATGATCACAGTTTTAAAGCGTGCTGTTTCATGCTTCTGGTCCATTTTGCCTAAACAAATAGATTTTTAAACCGTTTCCTATCCATAAATTGTTTCTTAATTTATGCACATTACCCGATTAAATAACATTTTCAATCGGTAATGTACAAATTTTTATTTGATTTTCAATGAATTGTATTCGTACATTATTCGGAGGATCGTCTAATGCATTGTGCAGCACTGCGTGAACAATGAAAGGTGCAAAACTAATGAAACGGTTGAAAAATCTTATTTAGAATAATACTTATTATATAAGATATAATTGTTCCGTCCTCGAGGCATTTACATCGTTATTGAAATTAATGTAACATTATAAAACATCTGAAAAAAATTACATAAAAAATTTGAAAATTAAGTACAATTTAATGTCATTATCTTACGTACTAGACAAACATCAGTAAATACTACTTTCATTTGGAACTTAGTAGCTGTGATTCTTTGAACACATTTTCTACAGACCTCTAGGTACAAAATTTCGTATACGAAGACGTTTTTCTAGGATAGCATACTTCTGCACATGCTTTTAATAAAGGATATTACAACATTTTCAAATACGACAGTAAATCATGATAGTTTTTGATAGAAATAACAGTGCCCATTGAATTTTCAAAGTATATTTAATACTGCGTGTATTTGTAATTTATATATCAGATCATCGATTCAGTCGAAACTTCGACAGTGATAGATTTCGACATTCTATGTACTTTAAATTTCATTTTCCACTTTCTTCATATCTTATCTTTATGAAAATGTCTTGATTTACCATTAAAACTTGAAATTTATTTACATAAATATAAGAATTGTACTTGTATTACTTGTACATTAAAATATATTGAAAAACGTGTTTCTAGATATAAATTATTTTCAATATAAATTAATTTTCCTTTTTTAATATATCATTACATTTACCCCGAGTATACTTACTGCCATTTGAAAATATATTCATAATAAAGTTTATTTAACATTTACTGTAAATTTTGGCTTATGAAATATAGAGGGAAAGCTGAACCCTAATCCTTGGTTCGGTACTTCACTCTATAGAAATGCTTATGACCTACTTCAAACTTAAATGTATTTAGAGCAGTATTGAAACTTCAATCATGAATATCTTGTAGAATAATGAATATCTGATTCTATAATGGCGTAGTTTTGAAATTTAGATGACAGAATTTACTGTTTGAAGTCTCAAGTAAGATGCTGACCTGAAGATCTTGCAATCTTCATGTCAGTGATAATGTATGAAAAATTAATAAAAAATTATGAAGAATAATAATAAATGTCTTCATACTCTAAAAACACTATATCATCATAGAAGAGTCTAAAAAATATATGTACGTAATGTCTTTTGAAGTTTTTACTTTAAATTTCAGTAATTTCCTTTCATCTAACAAGACATTGTTGCGGTTTTAAAGGTTTAATTATACTTAATCATACATAATATCTGTGAATCAGAAGTTTTCTACTGTTTTTGGAAAGATATATGTTATTCATCATTTTTTAAATGGATGTATACTATTTTTTGAACAATGTAATGTTTTTATTAAAATAGAGCATGAATAATTCAGTGATCCTATAAGGGGTGTTACCTGACATCTAGGACGCATTTTGTTTATTGTTGCACATTATCTTGTACCCCAGTGTATTTATTAACCCACTTTTACAATTAGTGTTAAAATTTAAATATGTTTTACTAGAAAATTAGAATGTAACTTATAAATATGTGTGTGCTACATAGTGATGAAATCAAATTAAAACAATTAGTATACACAAATTAATCTTAAATTGAGCAAAAATAATTTGCAATTCGTTTAAAGTGATGAATAATTCAAATCATATTTTGAAATATTTTATTTGGACTAAAATTTATTTTATTGTAAATAATTTCCCTATATACCTTTATCTATCCATCATAAAATTTTTAAATAGATTTTCAGAATTTGATATAAGTAGAATATACTTTGGATGTTAACTAGATACAAAAACAATGGTAAAAATTCATATGAACATGTTTCCTCTTTAACACACTTCTCTATTTATAGCCACTTTGTACACCAGTAATTTTTAACTTTGAAATAGAATATAAAAATGACTATAGTTTATAGATTAGATCAAATGTGGCACATATCAATATGAATTTTTCCATTGTTTTCTTGTAAATTATCACCATTCAAGAATGTTGTACATGTTATGAAATATGTATAAATTACATATTTTTATATGAATATTTCAGATGTATGAAGTCATTTTATATTCAAATAATAAAGTAAAATATTTTTTATTATTAATA